AAAAAAACCCAAAACCCAAAGGACAATTCAGCTGGACAGCTTGTTTTTTTTTTTTTTTTTTCCTTAAAGAGAAAAATAACCACCACAGTCTCTGAAAGGAAGCAGGACCTGGTAGAGCCTGTCTAACCAACCACTGCAGACTTGACAGATTCCACTCCTGCTTTCCAGAGCTGATGGCTGGTCATTCTCCCCTTGCTTGGGGAGATGCACTGACACTCTGTGACTCACTAACGTTTACTGCTTTGAGGAATCTCCTCTGGCTCAGTTCACTCATTACACAAACAAGTACCCAAAACTCAGCACCATGAAGTTCCATAGTGATCTCTGTAAGAGGCAATTTATGGGCTTGTGCATCGAGCTGCAGAACCCAGCGTGCAATTTTCCAGGTTAAATACAGTCCATCCTAAAAGAGCATCTTCCTTCACTCCAGACCGGGCTGGACAGTGACTCGCACACACSCAGCCCTCTGGGCTTAGTCACGTTGCTGCTGTAGCAGCTCCAGAGGACTGTCATCAGTAGACAGAAGCCAAACAGACAGACTGACGAATCTGGAGATACCTGGAGCTCTCCCTTTGGCTATCTCAGTGCTTTTATGGAAATATGCAAGAAGGAAACTAGTGGAAAATACATCGGGAGAGGAGAGTTTGGGATTCAAACTGCTGGGAAGAACTGAAAGAAATCATCCCTAAATCCTGCCTAGAATGCTTTCCCCATTGCTCTCATTTATTTAGAGAACCATCATGGGCCAGAGTAACACAAAAATAAGAAACTGTTCCTTTCCCCCTCACCTTGGTGTTGAGTTCCTGTGGCTGCTCAAGGCTCCCCGTGCAGTTGCTCATGTCTTGCTTGCAGCAGCTCAGCGGGACGCTGTTGTTACCCGTGGAGTTAAACCACTGTGTGCTCGTCCAGTCGCTGTAGTTCCTCACGCCACAGCAGTGAAGCTGCCACACACCAGAGAGTCACACGGATGTGAGAATACAACAAGAACGCGAACGCTGAATTCAACCTCTCCTGGCCATACTGAGCAAGAGCTACTGTTGTCTTTCTGGTTTACAGCACAGGATTCTCAGCAATAGTTAAAGGCATTCACRTTCATTCATACATCTGATCCCAAGGCCACTCATGTCAACGAGGTCACTAGTTTACATGAACTTCACATTATGACCCCAAATGCCAATTCTGCAAAGCAGGGAGCACCCCACGCAGAGCCAGGTGCTCAGTGCTGCTGCTCTAGGGTACCAGCCCTCCTCCCCTCCCTCTCCCAGGCCACATTCCTTGCTTAATGTCCAATCGAGTGACTTGTGAACAACTCTCTGCCGAATTTAAAGATTTTCTTACCTGTTCTTGCAAGTAATTCATGACAGTTGACTCTGCATTTTTCCCATCATACTTTTCAAAGACTGAACGCATTGTATCCTGCACATCAGTTTTTACCTAGTTTCAGAGAAAAATATCCATTCTGTTTTAGCACAAGGGATCAGAATATTATCTAAATGAAACTGCAAAAACTCTGATTCTCAAAAGTTAAAAAAAMCCCAAAGTTTCAGATAACATCTGGGTAGCACTTAATCAGCATATAATATCCTAGATACAAACTGTTCTTCCTTGACTAAGAGCCCTCTTTGTGAGCATCAACATCTGTTTAATCCAACGTAAGGRTCAGCTGTGATGCCTGCAGACACTTCATGTTCCTGACAACGGTCAATTCACACACCCAGTGGKGACATCCCCGTTCCGCATCCCCACGGTAGCCACTTGCCCTGCAGTTTTCAGCACAGAGGAGGAAGGGCAAGAAAGCGGATACACAGGAATGCTCCTACAACACGGGAGGTGTCCTTCACTTCTGTGTTAGCACAGAGATGCTCATTCTTACCTTTTCCCTGTACACAAGTCCCAGGACAAAAGCTGATACTTCCGCAATAAAGATAACCAGGATAATGGCCAAGAACTGAAATCCAAAGAGAGAGACTGTAAGGATACACAGCAAGGACGCTCTTCTCACCACATGGATGGATGATCATGAGTAAGTTTGCATTATCCACTGTTGCACTGCTAATTAAAAAAGTCTCCAAAAAGTAATTARAAAAAGGATATTATAGCCATGTCGAAGGATATATAAGGCCATGAAAATGACCAGAGCTTCCCAGCTCTTGGACTCCCCAAAAGATCATTATCGTTGGGATATTGATGGGATTGTCCACCCAGAGATACAGATGCGGGCTGTTCTGCAGGCATCTCCATATTAATCATCAAAAACTATAAACGGCTGAGGGCTTTAGCCTGCACAAGTGAAACTAACAATATGAGTGAAATTTTAATAATTTACTCTGTAGTTCACTCGTCATCGATCAGTTCTTTGCAGCAGCACGTAGCTCCCACGAAGGGGCAGCGCTCCAGCCTTTTTTCCGAGTAACATCCTTGCATCCAAACASGGCCCCATAAAACAGGGCATGGAAAAGGACATGCAGGAACACAGAGGACTTACCAGCCCCAGGCCAACTCGTGACTCGCGGAGGGTGGCACAGCAGCCGATCAAGCCGATGACGAACATCACGATGGCAACACAAATAATGATCACCGCTGGCAGGAGAGCATGCTCATCTTGCAGGAAGTTGTCATAGCTCTTGTAGGTGTTAATGACGTATCCCCCGACATAGCTAAGACCAGCTGCTGCTGCCTGAAACGCAATAAAGGTATTTGCAGTTATTCGAAAAATAAATTCCAGCTTTTCTTTTGTAATAGAGTAAAGTAATGGCTACAGATGAAGAGATCTAGGGAAAAAGAGAGCATGTGTTTGGAAATAACTCCCCATCCAAAACTGCACTTGGAGGAACTAACTTCTAAGATGATGACTCCAGGGTTGTGCTTTTGGTTTGTTCTTGGGAGAAAACCTTGTCCTTTCTGCTTTCTCAGCGGCGCTCCTCTCGACTGCTCAGAAGCTCTCAAAGCCRTGGTGAGGCTGTTCACTGCCAACCAAGATAACTGATTTTCTCTATCCTGGCTCTGCTGTTTACTACAGAAGACCCCTCTTAGACTTTCTTCAGAAACATGGAAAGGTACACGCACAACTGTCCCTGATCCCAGCTCAACCTTACACAAGTCAACGTGTGACCACGGTGGCTTGGTGACCAATGCCCAACAAGCAGCCATGGAGACGGGAGGGTTTTATCCACAAAACTGGCCCCTGCCCTGGAAATGACACGGAAAGGCTCTGCAATGCCCAGCCAAAGCCTTAGCATTAAAATCCTCCTGTGAGTTGGACTGAATCCACCCCCTGTGACCCATCAGCCCAGGACGGGACCTGTAAAAACTGGGTCACTGGCCGTACCCACCTGCTRGAAACTCAGAGGACAGAAACCAGCCTGTTTTCAACAGGCTGCAGCTGGATTTCATCACGCAGCCTCCAAGCTGTTCCTTACTTCTCCCAGCACAGGACGTTTTAATTAAACCCAACACTGCTCGCACTGGAGCTAGACGTTGCTAATTCCTTTACCATGTTTGGCTCCTTCCCTGCGGCCAGGTCTGGTGCCTGCTCTTAATTACCCCTGGAGCGGGACACATCCTTCATCCACGTCTGCCATTCCTGGACACTGCCTGAACCTAAAAATTATCGGGATGAGATGCACCGAGCGATGCAACCAGGACCAAGCTAACCCGTAAAAGCCATTCATCATGTCTCCTGTAAGATCCTGTTCTTTATTTATTTCAGTGTTCTTCATCTGAAAGAACAAGTTATCATCTTCCACCTGCTGTACTAAAAGATATATTTGATTTGAAATGCCTGTTAAGATTAAAAAAGCCTACCACGTTCATCCAAGCAAAGTCTACCAAGTTCATCCGAGTAAAGCCTTTCCTCCAAAATTCAGAGGGAAAAAGCATATTTCTGAAAATTTTAGAAAAGATTGGTTTATGTTTTACATGCCAAGAAATAACCCTGCACCAGGGACACGGATACAACACGCTGGTGTCCCAGCCACAGYGCTCACACCCCTGCCTGACGGCATCGCCTCCAAGGAGCCTTCGGTCTCCTTGCTGCTGCCCTTGCTGCCAACCTCACATGGAGCCGAGCTACAGCTTCAACTTTTCCATAAGGATCAAGTCCTTGGAGGTACCTGCCCCGACGCACCGAGGCGGAGCCGCGCGCGGCCTCCTGTACGTGCTCGGCTGCAGGTGCCCATGCGCCCAAGCCGAGCGCCCGGGCACAGCTCCTAACAAACAGGTTTTTGCTTGAGGACATCAGCAGGCTTTGGGCAGTGCCACCGAGCACTGCGGTGGYGGCATCACCCACTGCTGAGAGCCCGGGAGACCCTCAGAAAGGCTCACGGTGGAGAAAGGCGAAATCCAGGCGGAACGGAGCTGCGGAGACTTGAGCTGGTGCGGGATGGGCAGGACACACCGCAAAGGCAGGAACGGTGTTTCTGGTGGACACAGGGGTGTCACACCTGAATCAAAAGGCCACGTGACATGGCTAAAGTGCAAAAGGTCCATGAATCCAGTTAGTTTGTCACAGGTAGAGCTTCAGGTCCCGGTGTTTCGTGTCACAGCGCTGCTAGTGCCTTTCCAAGCAGTTCTGCACTTCTGCAGCCCRCGCCAGCACAGCAAACCCCAAGCCCTCCACATCATACTGTAAGATAGAGACCTGCATGCAGTCAGGTCAGAACCTCCCAACACTTCCACTAGGTTTCTGCAAGTGATTTAGGTAACAGATATTCTCTGCTTCTCCTTATTATCCAATATCCTCTGTTTTGCACCTGTTTTTAACGTGCTCCCCTCCAACCGCAGAGGAAACGCGCACAGGAGGTACTGAAGGCAGGTAAACCGCGAGCCCTGGCCAGGGAGCAAACCCGCGTTGCTGGTTAAGGGCTACCACAAAATCCAAACAATCTTGTGGGGCCGATTCCCACAAGTCCTGCAGGGCCAGACTCAGCGGAGTTCCGCAACAGCCAAGTGGAGAGGAGCAACACAGAGCTCGCAGGAGGTTCTTCTTCTCCCACCTTTATCAGGCCATTCCATGAGTGTTACTGCAACCTCCAGGATGAGCTGCACTCCGGCTGCACGGGAAACACAGCCCAAAAGGGCTCCATTACAACCACCTCAGAACTGCTGCTGCCAAGCAGGAAAAAAAAGGAAGCATAAAGATGTGAAAATAAAAGACATTAGGTGACGATTTGGTCTAAGGCAAGTTCAGGTTTTTCTCCACAAACTTAGATATACCCAGGACTTTACCCCCATATTTTAAATCAAAGAGAAGATTTTGGATACTAAACAGAGAAGGCTGCTTGTTTTAATTTTTGCAGGCCAATCCCAGCATCAAACTGTAAAAGCAGAGGAGAAAAACATTTTGGGATGTCAATCTCCACACTTTCCACCTAAAGCTTTTCCCACACTTAAGGGAAGASTCAAAATCCAGGGGAGGGATTTTCTGTAACATTGCAAAACCTGCCAGTTCCTCCCTATGAAAATGAAAACAAAATCTCTCCAGACAAGGAGTACAAGAGGACCTGTCTCTTTGCACTGGTGACGCCAGACCTTGAGTCAAGAATAGGAAGTATAAAGTAGACTTGACTTAACAAGTTTCTGTGTAATCTCAAAAAAAAAAAAAAAGGAAAGATTTTCACTTCTTCGGGGCATCAACAATTCTCTTCCGATAAGCTGAGCAAAGGGGAACTTTGTCAGAAAGCCCCATTTCCCGGCCAGGGAGCAGAGCCGCGACCAGCTCTGCGTGGGTGCCCACCGCGCTMGCGGTGCGCGCGGTGCCGACGCAGAAACCCTCATGTTTCCTGCTCTGCGCCTCGTCCGGAAAGTGATCCTGAATCATCCGAGTGCCAGGGACGAAGCTCTTGCTGGGCTGAGCTAAAAGGAAACCGGTGACCACGAAATCCAGCCTGCGAAACAGGAGGGCTTGAGGCTGGACAAGTGAAAGAAAAAAATAACCAAAAATAGTAATATTTGCATCTTGCAGTGGGGCAGAACAGACCCTCTTCCACTTTCCCTTCTCTGACTGCGTAAATAACTTGACCTTGCGTGATGAAGGGAAACTGAGTTTCTGATTGTTTGCATTTCTAAGTGTAGGTTTCTTTCCTCCCATATCTGAATGCAACAGAGCTACAGAGTCAAAGTTCACTAGYCAAGTTGAAAGTTATAAAAGGCAGTGTTTCTTGTTAGGGCTCTTTATTTTTCATGTTTTATAAAGKTTTTTCCCAGTATCCTCCCATTTCAGAGTGCTGATTTGACACCAAGCTCTGCTAATAGGGCTGGTTGTAGGTTTTACTGTGAAGGACCTCGTGGTGGAAAGCGGTTCTGTCTTCAGCATCTACCAGAGAACATAACTTGGACTGATTCAACTCCATTTTCTGTATTGTTAACACTTTCCATAAGGAAAGAAAAATATGGTAAACAGTGGAAAAAGGATGTATCGCCATAGACACAAAACCTTCTCAAACCATCCCCTTGCACTTCCTCGCTGGAGGGACGCCTCAGTGTAGTGTTTTGGTCGATACCAAGCCTTGAAAGCCACTTTTCCCTTCTCAATACCTTTGCTAGCAGGGATCTCGGTGAAAAGATACCATGATGTTTTATCTCCCTGGTTAAAAACCTGGATAAAAAGCSTCCTCAAGCCCCCACCTTCTGGCAGAGGAGTGACAAAACTTGAAAGTCTCCAGCGATTCTGGTTTATCAAGGGCTGTCTAGAGCAGACCCTGGGATATGGAGCAGGGCAAGCGTGCAAACTGTTGACTTCTGCTTTGCGATTTTGGGCTAAGTCATGTAAAACGTGTGGGAACTCGCAGGTCTCAGACGCCCTGACCTGCAGTGACTCTTTGGAGAAAACCTCCTCCCTTAAAAATACCCTTATCAGAGCCTGTATCTGAGGAGCTGGTATTTAAGCATCCCTCTATATCCATCGTAGTCTTCACGGAAGGCTTCTCCAAACCACCTGTAAGTGGTGAGAGTGACTTCAAGCCATTTGGGGATGCAGGAACTGACACATTTATCCCTCCCAGCTACTAAAAATGACTGGAAAGTGACAGTGCATCAACACTGATCAACACTGACCAGTGCATCAACACTGATGGCTTGATCTCTGTGCCGCCAGAGATCACTCAGCAGGCCACCGGGAGGCTGAAATCRAGCAGATTTTAGTCTTAGATGCACCAAAAAAGGGTAGATTACACACAAATAGAGATGACAAACACTCTGGCAAACGTTGCCTCAGTCCCTGCCCTGCGGCCCAAGCCTCTTAATCTCCCCTCCTTCCTCTCCTCAAGGGCGTGGAAGAGGAGGAAGAGCAGGAGCAGGCCGGAGCAAGGCAGGAAGGCGCATGCTCCGCCTGCACRGTGCGGCAGGAAGGGCTCCACCACCTCCTCTTCCCACCTTCTTTTCCTGAATGGGAAGAGGCACCTGGCTCCAAACACACATCCGATTCAGCCACGAGGGAGGCACACRGCCTACATTTCCCACCACGGATGGGAGGTGTTTGAACGCGGGGGCGGCCCGGATAACCTGCCGACACCGTATCCGCCCTCTCGGTGGCTGCAGCTCAGCGAGATGAATTGCTCCTGATTGAGAGCACGGAGAGAAACACGGGAAATGAAAACACACGAGGTCTCAGCAAACCCAACTTCCGGAGACCGACTATTTATTTTCAGTGGCATTTCTAAGCGATAACCCCTGTCAAAACACTGTAACTGCCCTAACAGAAGATGGAATATTTCCCATAATCATTTCCAAGCGGGGCAAGATTTGYAGCACACAATGCCCAAGCAGGAATTACCACTCAGAGAAAATCAAACCACAAGTGCTCTTTGTAAATCTGGTATTCTGATAACGATCTAGAGCCTTGCACAGAGGCCCACCCGTCATATAGAAACACAGTCTGGAAGCGCCCAGGAGGCAGYTCCTCCTTCCCCGCCTTGCTGAAACCTGAATTCCTGGTTTTGCCATTCCGTCTGAGCACGGTCACYGCATGCAAAGGGTTGCAGCAGCATCCAGCCGCCGCAGGGCTCGGGTGCCTTGCCTAGGAGAGCCAGGCCTGAGCCGGGTCAGCCCAAATTCAGGGCTTGCAAACAGGCAGAAGAAGAAATTACCCATTACCCAGAGCTGGATGATCCAACAGGCAAGACTGGGGAGTTCTCTTAGTGCAGAAGGTACCGGAGATGTTTCTAGGAGGCCACAAGGCTGTAGCTTGATATAAAGAAATAAAATAAGCCCCAGCACAAGCAATGATGTAAATCTGAGGTGTCCCTGACCCACCTAATTCCTGTCGGAGGCTTTGGGATTGCGACATACACGCGGCGGGTGCTCCGGTGTCCCTCTCCAGGTACTTTCCATAACAGCACGTGACAAACATAAAACAGCTCATGTTACTAGGCACACAGCAAGAAATCCAACCTCCTTCACCATCCATGCTATGGGTATAAAAGCATGTTTGGAAAACGCAGCAAKTTGTGATCAAACACCCATACAGGAGGCACAGTGAAGTGACCTGCGCATTACCCCCGGCACAGCAGCACTCTCTGAACCTGAGGGGAAGAAACACGCTGCAAAACCTCGAATCCGTAAAGCCCCTCGGACTCCGAGGGGAAGAAACATAGTGTAAAACCCCAAATCCATAAATCCCCTYGGGATCCAAGCAGAAGAAACACACGCAGTGCTGTGAATCCCCAGGCCTTGCCGTCAGAAGAGCATCAGTTGCCCTTTCGGTGGCTACCTCAAGCACTGGCCTCCAYGAGCACACTGTTTTTTATCACTTTGCAGAAATTTTACTTCTTTGCTTCTCCCCCRTGCCTCAGTGCCAGCAGCTCCCCGCTTCCCTACCCACCTCCAGCACCCACAGTTTATTAGCAGGTTACACAAACTTCCCCCTGCCGTGGAAAAGTCCATGGCTGATTTTGTCCGAATACGGCCGCCCCGTTGTGAGCGGTCTCCAGTCACCGTCACATGCAGCCGCCCTTCACCAGCACCAAACCTGCTTCCCTTCGCCTGCCCATGCAGGGACCCAGCCACAGGGGCAAAAAGAGCCTTTTCCTGGGGAATATCGCRTTGATTCTGCCATTCCCGGGCACCACAGCACTGGAAAACCCAGGGAAAAACCCTCCTCTACAGCAGCAGTTCTCCTTTGGGCTGATTTAACCTCACTTTGCCATTCACATCCCAGCAACGCCCTCCAAACCAGMAAAGGATCTGACCAAAAAGCACAAGCACTTTCAGGTTGCTTTTAGGCAGAATTTTAAGCAAAGCCACCGGCTGTACCCACCTCACAGCAGCCAGAACCGGTTTCCTCCCCGAAACGCGACTTGCCTGGAAACTCGACTGGTAATTGCAGTAAAAACTGCACAACCTTCCTCCAGAAAAACCCCAAAACCCACAGCAGTTGATCTGCAACTTATTTTTCCTTTTTCTACGAACTTACAAACAGAACACCAGTGTGTGTATATATATATAATATATATATATATACTGTGTATATACATACATATATATATATACTCATACACGTGTAGGGATTTCACAGAGACTTGAACCGTGTTCGCCTGCACACGGGGGACCCAAAGCTCGGCCAGCTCCTCTCCTGGACCCTCCGCTTAAGCCCAAAGCAGCGGGGGGGGATGCTCCGCACCCCGTTCCCGTCGCCGAGCGCCTCTTTTCCCGCTCCGCGGGTCACTTGGGGCCCGGCGCTTCCCGCCCCGCGGCCCGGCGGCCCCGGCGCGGCCCGCTCGGTACCCAGAAGGCGACGCTCAGCAGCACCAGCACCGTCTTGGACGTGATCACGCCGCAGTCCATGGCGCGGGGCCCCCGGCTCTGGCGCGGCTGGCGGGGCAGAGCGCTGGGTCCCGCGTGGGGCTGCCCCGGACCGCCCCGAACCGCCCCCGAGCCGCTCCGGACCGCCCCGAACCGCCCCGATCTCCCCGACCCGCACCGGGCCCTCAAGGATAGTTACCAGAGAAACTGTTTTATCTATTTATCTATTTATTTAATTTATCTACTCATTTATTTATTTGGTTTTCCTCCTGGAAGCCCCTGGCGCCACCAGGGACGTCCCTGGTTTCTGGTACCGCCAGAAGAGTGTTTTCAAGCCGGAATTACACTTTACTTTATTAGGAGTCTCAGCAGTGAAATCCTGGGAGCAGGAACAAGGGTGTGATGGTCTAAATGACACCTCCGCTGCCTTCTGTGCCCCTCTGGCCACCCATCTTCCTCATCTTCATCCCCATCTCATCCATCTTCTACGGCTTCTCCATCTTCTCCATCTTTTGTGTCTTCTCCATCTTCTCTGTCTTCTCCATCATCCCACATATATCCAGGCCGTGCCCTTGCCCTGCCTGCCCTGGCCCTGCTGTGCAGACCTTCCCTCTGCATGCTCAGGACCCTTTGAAGGCTCTCCTTCCCCCWGGAATTTCCATGTCCCAGCTGCCACGTGTCTCCGCAGTCGCTGCAGCTCCTGGCATGTCCATTGGAGCAGCTGTCACGGCTTCCTTCCCCACGAGCCCCTTACCCAACACAAGGGCAACCATTTGCTCTTGACAAGTCTTTGTTGGCTGTTACTCATCTCCATATTTTCTACTCACTTCCAAATGATTTCCCAGGTACTTACTCCATTGTTCCATGCTCCTCATTTTGGAGGAACTTAAGTTAACATAATCAACTTGTAATTTCCTTTTTTATTATTATTTTTCTAAGAAAAGGGACCTACGTTCACCCCTGCTCAGTGTTTCCTCCTATTTGGCCCATGTTGAGGGACGCTGTGGCGACTCCCGGTGCAAGGGCACCTGCTGCCTGTTGCAGCCCGCCGGGGGCGGCGGATCCGCTCCTGTGACTAACGTGTGACGGGAGCACGCGAACGCATCTACAGCAGTGCCTGGCTTCACTGCTCCACGCCGTTTAAAAACTTAAATCTTTAAAATAATTGTGTAGAAAAAAAAATGGAAAGGAGAAGCGGCAGGCAGCAAAGGCAGCTCCTTAGCCAAAGCTCTTTGGAGATCCCTGATTTAGCCAAAAGTGAAGGCAGACGCACAAGGGTCTTTCACAATTCTTTCAGTTCCCCCTGAGCTGGCTTTACGAACTCTACTTTTGGTCTTCTTGTGAAAAAAGTAAACTTTACAGCAACAGTTACTCACATTTTCCTTTTTTYTTACAATAGGGAAGTTACTCCTACACGGAGTTTAATTCGCAAGCCCAGGACTCTGCGTTGGGCACCCAATGGGCTTTCCATGCAGCTCCCCATGGCACCTCACACACCATCACATTCATGCACACGGGTTTGTATTTTAAACCTTTCCCACCTCACTATAAACAGGATTTGATTTTCTTTCTTAAACCTGTACGTCTGGCCCGTGTGTCTGAGATTTGGACCACAGTGAAAGCTCTGATCTCTGCTACTYGCGCACTGCATGTCAATGGAGACGTGTTTATGGGAGTGTTTCCTGCCTCCATTTCTGACTCACTTTGAACATGTGGATTTTGATCATGTGGATCTGGCCAGACAGCAATTCCTTCAAAATAAATGAATAAAAGCACCCAGAAGAGGCAACATACAGGAGTCACGATTTCCCCAAGCATGGGTTTCAAAGATGGCCTGAAGCCAACAGCATGCAGGATGAAAAAAAGGGAGGATGACGGGAAGAACCTGGGATGGTTTGAAGTGGGATGAGTGAAGAAACCTCAGGGGAATTCAGAGTCAGGAGGAAGCCTGGAGTTCTCAGAGCCCGGGAAGCCCGGAGCACGGATGAGGTGAGAAGGACTTTTGATCCCACGGAAGGACAACGATGTGCTCAAGGGCCGGCCAACCGCAATGCCACAGCAAAGGAACAAAGAGCCACTCTAGGGTAAGTTTTGTCTTTTATGAGGGATGGGGATGACTTGGGTTCCTTCAAAATTCCGCAATTATTCCACTRGAGGGATTAGAAGTGAAAGGTTTCCTTTGTATATTGAAAAAACAAGGAGGGGGGGAAGAGAGAGAACTGTTCATCAGGTGATACCAATCAACCTCATTTACTTCCTGTAGGAGCAGAAAGGCTTCACTGTCCTTGGCTGGATTTCCCTTCCTAGTAGACAAAAAAAAAAAAGAAAAAAAGAAAAAAAAAAGAAAGAAAAGAAAAGAGTGCTGGACAACGCCACAGATCTTGCTCTTAAAACAGGCGCTCTACTTTTCCAAGTAGTTTTAGGTCACCACAYGGTGCTGCCTTCTCCCCAGCTGAGGAACTGCCGGAGAACCGCGCTGTGACCAGCACCCGCCTTGGCGTGGCAGTTAACATGTCCTTTACCTCAGGTAAAATAAGCTCCAAGTCATAAAGCATTTTTTAAAATTTTGTTTTATTTTCCATKACTTCTCCAACCGCCGCCTTGCCCCCACTAGGGGGCGCCGCGGCCGCGCGGGCAGCACCTCGGGCCGCCGAGTGCGCATGCGCAGTAGTCCGGCCTGACCCCCCCCCCTCCGGCGCAACTGGTGGCGCATGCGCAGCGCTCCGCGTTGGGCGCCCTCTCCGCGCTGTGAGGTCACTTCCGCCGCCGCGCGTCGCCATAGCGACGGGCGACGCGTCGCGGCCGCGGGACGGCGGCCATGGAGGCGGCGGCGCGGTGGCAGCGGCGGCACCGCGAGGTGACGGGGCCCGTCCCGCACTCCTTGGCGCTGGTGAGCGGCGGTCCGCGGGCACGGCGGGGCGCTCAGATCCGCCGCGGGCTCCCCGGGGCGCCCGTTCCGTTAAAAAGCCATCCCCCGAGCGGAATAACTCGTTGCCGTTCTCTCTGGCAGCGCCCCAAGCCGCCCAAGGAGGATGCGTGCGAAAAGGCCGTGCTGGCCGCCAGGCGCAAGGAGAAGGGGCGCCTCGAGTTCGACGACTTCTCCGCGCTCTACAGCAGCTACCGCACGAGCAACGAGTGGCGGGAGCGCTGCGAGCGCCGCCGGCTGCACCGCTGCGTCCAGAGGAGGGTGCACGAGGCCATGCAGGCCTACCTGGCAGGGAGCGAGGACCGGAGAGAGAGGTAAGGCAGACTGCTGAGAGCTGCTGGCCAGGCCCAGCCTCAGCGCCTCCTTAGAGAGGGTGTGGTGAGAGGAAACAGTAAGTCCCGGGTCTAGGTGTTAGGCTGTGCTTTGGGGCTGTGTTCTTCAGACTTCATAAAGGTTTTGGAAATTCGAATCGTTGGATGCAATTGTTATTTTTTTTTAATTTAATTTTATCCTTTTTGCAACCCCATTAGGTTATTTCTCCCACAAGTAAGGCTTTGCAGTACAGGCAACTGAAAAAAATTCTTACCCAGAAGTCACTTGAAAACAATAAAGAAAATATTAGAATATTACAATATTCTATTAGAATATTAGAATTATTATTAGAATAATATTAGAATAATAGAATTTCACTGTGGTCTGAGAATATAGTCATATAGCTTAATTTCTGCTTTACAGTCCTTCATGTGAAGGGATTTTGGTGACTGAATGTTATCAGGTAGGCATTGTGGTTCCTAGAGCAGGAATTACATGCTAACTATTTTCGTTAGCTGGTTAAGTGAGGGTGATTGGCTGGAGGCCACTGTGGATGTTAGGGCTGGCATTATTGCCAAGTTGATGTAATATCCTTGTTAAGGACTTCTGGGATGAGTAGAAGAACTGGTTTATGATGTGACATTAAAATGACAAAATGAGGTTTCTGAGAAGATCCTTGCATAAATCTGCAAGGGAGAGGGCTAAATGCTGAAGAAGGATTAAATTGAGGGATGGCAATGGTACAAGATGAAATTGGTATCAGTTGATGATAAATATAGACTGGAAATTAGAGGAAGGTGTTTAACAGTTCTGTAGCAGCCAGGAAAGTAGATCAGTATGATAAAAACCTTGAACAGTGCCACAAAACTGTGGGACCCACAGAAGGGATCTTGCAACAAAACAGGAATGATCCCTGAGCTAGAATTCCAGTTTATAATATGGGGATAATATTGCAGGCAGTGCT